TTCACAGAGCTGAAGGGCTGTTTGAGGAGGAAGATGAGCAAGCTGGTGATTACAGTGTAGCATGAGAAGACCTTCAGCACAGCAAGACACATGAACTTGGAGCCTAACCCAAATTGAAAGCATCAGGGAAGATTCCCTTAAGGTGTATCTAAGCTGAATCCTAAACCACTAGTAAGAATTAGCCAAGTGAAGAGCAGGCAGCACAGGATGAGGACCCAACAGGCCCAGGTGACCTGTGAGTTTCAGGAAGCATGTTTCGTGTAGCTGGAGTCCCCAAGGCAAGGAGAGAGGGGCAAGAATTCAGATTAGAGGTATTAGTATAGCCCACAACAGGCAATTCGTATAAACCTGTTGAATAATTTATGTTTGATTCCATAAGCAGTGGAGGACCAGTGGGAGGTGCTGGTGAGAAGTTATAGAGCCCGAACCGGCCCCTGGATGGGGGAGATGGGAGCTAGAGAGAAGCTCAGGATTAAGGACATTGGGGAGTTTTTATCATTGTTTTTGTTTTCTTTAGGTAGGAAAAGCTTTATTAGTTTTAAGTGCAGATGGAAAGGAGGTGAAGATTCAGGGAGAGAGATTTCGAAGAGAAGGTGTGAAACTATGGGACTGCAGAGAAGCCCAAAGGATAGTCTAGGCAGATCTAGAATCATCTGTTTGTAGGAAGAGCTTTGAGGCCATTTCCACGTGTTGGTTTCTGTGTCCTCTGAAGCAGTCCAGGTGATGCACCTGCTGAGCGCAAGGTGATGACAGTGACACTGGCGGTTTCTCTTGGTCATTCAGCAGGAGTTTGTTGAGGACTTGCCTTATAAAGATGGCAGACAATGTAACATGATTCCTGCTCTCGTCACACTGCTCTGCCCGGTGGGAGAGGCCACGGAATGGGGCCTTTGTCTGTTATCTAATTACAGCTTCTGAGTGTTATGATGGAGATGTAGAAGGCACACTGAGAACCTGACAGTGGGAACCGGGGCCTAGAGGGTCAGAAGAGGCTTTCTAGAGGGAGTGCCGCTTGAGCCCAGCCCTGAAGGGCATATTGGCTTCAGGGAGAGGTTGCGTACCTGTGTCCAGGCAGGAGGACAGGCAGGGGTCAGGTTGCACAGGGCCTTGTAGGCCATTGAAGAATTGTGTCTGTTTTGGAAAACCCACTGGAAACTACATGTGTGAGAATGTCAAGCAAGAGGGTGACAGGGTACCTCCTTAAAAGGCCTCTCTGGCTGCTGGGTAACACTGGAAAGCATGGCAGGTTGGCAGGTGTGAGGCAGCCCTGGGGCTATTCCAGGACTGGGCCCCAGTATGATATTATGGGCTACGGGGGCAGCAGTAGCAGTGGAGAGTCATAGAGCTGGAGGAGGTTTAGGAGGTGAAATTGGCAGTCTCTGGCAGTTGACTGTGGAGAATGTAAGAAGGCAGTGACGAGGAGGCTCCCAGGTGTGAGCAGAGAGGAGAATGAAGGATGGAAGTTGCCATCATGGGGATCTAAGAAACTCAGCTGAGAAAGAAAATTGAATAATTACTGGAGAGCATGAAGGTCCAGGAAGACCAGAAATGCTGGTGTCCCTGCTATCTAGGGCTGTATGAGTTTTCAGCACTCGGTCAGGTGGCAGATCTTGGGAGGTTTCCTTGGTAACGTTGATGAATGGATCATGTGTAAGAGAGTTAAAGATGGTGGTAAATCGTGAAGACATGTTGGCCAGTGCAAGTGAAGAGTCACGTGAAGGCTTGTTATACTACATGTCAGAAGAAAGTAGGCCGGGTGCAGTGGCTCACACCTGTCATCTTAGCACTCTGGGAGACCAAGGCAGGAGGATTGTTTCAGGTCAGAAACTTGAGACCAGCCCAAACAAGAGTGAGACCCTAGCTCTACCAAAAAAACAGAAAAACACTGGCCAGCCATGGTGACAGACACCTGTAAGCCCAGGTACTCAGGAAGCTGAGGTGGCAGGATTGCTTGAGCCTGAGAGTTTGAGGTTGCTGTGAGCTATAATGATGCCACTGCACTCTACCCAGGGTGACAGAGCAAGACTATATCTAAGAAAGAAAGAAAGGAGGAGGGGGAGGGGAGGAGAGGAAGGAAGAAAGAAAAGAAATAAGGGCACTAGGAGTCCTTATGTGATCGACAATGTGGGAGGAGTAACGGAATATTGACCAGTCTCAGAGCCTGATTCACAGTGGGAAGCCTGAATTTAGCGTATCACTGGTGAAACAGCTCCTACTGCTGGCAAAGGCCAGGTGTGCCAGCTGGTGCTTGGGGTGCAATAGAGACGGGGAGGTCACCAGAGACCAGGAAGTCAGAGGCTAGCATTTGGAATGGCATTCCACACGGATGTTGACATCACTCAAGACAGTGGCAGTGACGGAGGTGCAGGAAATGACCAGTGCCGGGTGCTGAGGCTTCAGAGCTATGGTTCTCCACAGGGCACTGCTGCCTGCTGGGGAGTACAATGTCCCCTCATGAGGACACATTTTGTTTCACATCACAATGGCTGAGGGGGCCAGGGATGTAGAAGTGACCTTTTCTAGGGGACTAGGATCTGCACTGTGTGACTGCGTGACTTCTAGATGTTGTGGTGGACATTCAGACACTCAGCATGCAGTGAGGTTTCTAGATAAGAGGGCTGCCTTCTGGGACACCAAAACACCATCCCATCCTCTGGGGAGGCATTTTTATACCAGGTCATTTGTCTCATTTTCTTCTCTTGAATGGTCTTGATCTGTTACCACTTCTTTCCTTTAAGTTGCTTCCCTCTTTTCTTGCTGTATTCAAGGAAGCCTGGTCCGTGGTTCATTTCAGCGCTGGTCCTTATTCCCATGTTGACCGGCGCCTTTCACCGTCCTGTGCTCCTGGGTAGGGGGTGGCTCCTCATCTTTTCAATCCAAGCTTATTTATTATAAGTAGGTGCAAACATCTGACTTCATGGGGTTTTCAGCTCTCATTATGCCAGGCACATACATATTGATACCTATTGCTTTATTATAAATTACTTTCATATATTACAGTTAGGAGCATGTATTCATCCGGAGGGGCAATTGTGGGTGTTAGTTGTATTAGTGATGAATTCCATTTGGGGATATAAATGGGATATTGTGGAGAATTTATTGTGAACAGGGAAGTTGAGAGCCTCTATCTTGGAGAACAAGGGAAGCTGCCTGAGAACTGGTACCCAAGGACAGCATAGGGAGGGCAGAAGGGGCAGTGAGCAGCCACCGGAGGGCAGGTGTGTTTTATAGCAGGCTGAGGGAACTAGACATGGCCTTAGAGTGGGCACAGGACAGTCCCCAAACCCTGCCTCTTCGTCTTTGGTTACCTGCTTCCCTCCACTGGGGACATGAACCCTGCTCTTCCCTTTCCACTAGGCGGTCTTCATTGTCTGCTAGAAGGGGTGGGTTGTGGGATGCGCAGTCAGGACCCGGACCGTGCCAGGCACTGCACACAAGTCCTCATTCTCTCTACCCAAGAAAGGGAATGTACGCACTTGTAGGATTAGAATGAAAGCTGATTAGGCTCCTGGCTGTTCCTCGTCCAGTATCGCCAGGTGAGGGCATAATGATGGGAATAGCAGGCTGGCCTTGTAGCTTGTGCTCCAACTACTGCACTCACCATCCTCTGTCCTCACAGACCCTGAGGACAACCCCATGAGAAGCTTTTAGATGGAAAAAAAGAATGCCAGCCCCTTGGAGCTTGTGCCCTTGTAACTTTTGATTTCACACTCATACTTAAAACCACTCTTTGTTTTTCATTTTATTTTTCCTCAGTCTCTTCATTAACTAGCTACTTTCTTTTTTTTTGCAATTTTTGGCTAGGGCTGGGTTTGAACCCACCACCTCCAGCATATGGGGCCAGTACCCTACTCCTTTGAGCCACAGGTGCCACCCTGACCAGCTACTTTCTTTCCAGAAAGAAAGCAGAGTCCACTTACCATCTTTTGGTTTCCACAGAGTTGCCTTGTTCATTACAGGCATTCTGTGTATCTGCACTGGTTGATTGAAATGTGTGAGGTCTGTGCTGGTTTTCAAAAGCATAAGGACTAACCAAAAACATGTCATGTAGGAAAGAGTCTCAACAACTCTAAAAGGGACCGATGGTTTTGCAAATTTAAAATGCATAACTGAATTCGTATCTAATAGAAGTCAGGGTCAAAGATTTTCTTCTCTTAAGATCTAAAAACGTTTAAAATTGAAACTATCACTTTCTGGATGGTCCAATCTAGTTTCCTTAGGTACACATATTCTTTTTAGGCTTTTGTAGGTAACATTACTTGGGAATACTCAGATAGTAAGAGAAATTCTGGCTTTTTTTTTTTTTTTTTTTAGAGACAGAGTCTCACTTTATTGCCCTTGGTAGAGTGCCATGGCATCACAGCTCACAGCAACTTCCAACTCCTGGGCTTAGGCAATTCTCTTGCCTAAGCCTCCTGAGTAGCTAGGACTACAGGTGCCCACCACAATGCCTGGCTACTTATTTGTTGTAGTTTGGCCTGGGCCTGGTTCGAACCCACCACCCTTGGTATATGGGGCCAGAGCCCTAGCCACTAAGCCACAGGTGTGCCCTCCCCCTTTTTTTGAGACAGATTCTCACTTTGTCACCCTGGGTAGAGTGCTGTGGCGTCACAGCTCGCAGAAACCTCAAACTCTTGGGCTCAAGCTATCCTCTTGTCTCAGCCTTCCAAGTAGCTGTGATACGAGGCACCTGCCACAACACCTGGCTAGTTTTTTTCTATTTTTAGTAGAGACAGTGTCTCACTCTTGCTCAGGCTTGTCTCGAACTCCTGAGCTTAAGGGATCTATTCACTTCGGCCTCCCAGAATTGTTGGGATTACAGGCGTGAGCCACCTCAACCAGCCTTCTAGCTCTTTCTATTACTATTGAACTAGAAGTGATCTCTTTACTTGGGATGCAAAATTGGATCCATGTTCTCAGTCTGTCTTATGGGTTCATGTCAGTTACAGAAACGTGTGTATGACGTTTTTATCATGAATTTCTGTTTTCCTGTTTTTCAGGTCCAGTTGGAGTAGGGCTGAATGAACTGAAACGAAAACTGCTGATCAGTGATACCCAGCACTATGGTGTAACCGTGCCCCGTGAGTTCCCCATTCATCCATGTCTCTACAATACACCAATTGCCATCGCTCAAAACTTACAGAGCATTACCCATCTAGACCTCCCAACCACACTGTGATGTGTGTAGCAACACTGTCCACATTTATGGAGGAGGAAGCCAAGGCCCCAGAGGTTAAGGGATCTGCCTTAGATGGTACAGATCCTTGGCTGTATTGATCACAGCTTCCCTGCCCTTTGATTTTTATTATGAATTTGAATACACATATGACATCAAGTGATTATAAATTTTCTTCTAAGCAAAAGTCCAACTGTTCTGTTTTCCTAAAATAAGCACTGATGTTTTCCAGCATGTTTCACCAGCTTTAAGATTAGAAGGATCAAACCACAGAGAGCTCAAGGAGACTTCTTACTGTATAAACCTTTCTTAATCACCTTTTATATGTAGTAATTGGCAGATAGTGTTAAATGGGCTTTTCATGGCCACAGCTTCTAAATATGGTAGGCATCTTTTCTGTACACAGAATTAGATCTATTTTTATAAAAGGTAGTTTTCATGGGCATTTTTACAAATGAAATGTGACGCTCGAAACATTTTGATCTGCAGAATAAATGCCATTTGACTACTTAATATGTTGACGTTAGCAGCTGTCTAAAAGGCTAAATTGAAATGTTGGCTTTTTCAAGTGGTTTTAGTCCTGTTTAAAAAAAAAATTATTTGTGTATTGCCCTTAGCAGTGTTCTCTAGTTTTAGAAGAGTTCAACTTTATTTTAAAATAATAATTTTCTATTACCTCAAGTTACTATATTTTTCCAAATTGTTGTTCGTAATCATTTTCTGCCAGAAGTTATAGGACTGCTGGTTTCCATCGGCAGAGATTAAAGCAAAGGAAAATGTGGGATCAGACGGTTTCTTTTTTTTTTTCTTTGATTATTCACTTGTGAATTTGCCTCTGAATTGCAATATACAGATAATTAGAAAATTTTATAAAACAATCATGAAGCTCACAGGTGAGCAGTTTCAGAAGAGAACTAGAAGGTGCCGGATCAGATGATAAAGAAAAAAACAAATCTACTAATTGCCTGCTGTGTATTTATCTCCTGTGTTTGTCTTAATTTATGTAGCCCTTCCAATAACAGCGTGAGTGATGCTGTTTCCATTTTGGAGAAGGAAACTGGGGGAGAAAGGATATGTTGGCTTGAGTTCCATAGATGATGGTTGCACTTGGATTTGAAACCAGGTTTTCTGATAATCCCTTCTCTCCTATATAATGCTAACAACTTTTTTAAACTACAGACTCTTTTATGACCCAATTAGTAGTAAAAGCTGATTTCTTTGTACGATGATAAATATCAGTAAGACCACCTATCAAAAGTAATCCTCTGTGATAGTTTCGGTATTATTAAAGGAACTAAAGTGAGGCAGTTTGGCCTTAATTTATTCAGCTATTGAAATAATATTTGCCTCTGAGGTTGTAGAAGTTGATAATATCCAGAAAGATCCCCAGGCTGGGACTCTCCACAGAAACTTCAAAGTCATTTATTGCTACAATTCACTTTCAAACAAAGGTTAAAGTCAGAAGATCCTCACATAGCAATGTTTTCCAGACTCACCTGGTATGTTCTAGAATACTTCCTAGTCATAGGCCGTCTCTCAAGTTTTCTAAAATATATATATATAAACTGGGGTACCAGTAAAAAGATTCTTTTTGTTATCTCATCATGACAGTTATTCTGGGGATTTAGGGGGTGGGAGGAAGGGAAGGGAAGAGGTTAGAGTTTGTTTCATATTTGGGTGATGTGTGTCATAATCTGTAAGCACGGGGAACTCAGTGAGCTAGGGTCAGGTCATGGCCTGCATTGGGGTCAATATGTGGGTCATTATGAAGGTTTTGAGATACACAAAAAACAAGAAGAATAAAATCTATGAGGACAGAAACAGGGAGCCCTCCCAGCTAACGCCAGGTTGAAACTTGCACAGGTGAATCATAAAGGACTCTGTCACTTCTATTTCTTGGAAGTGAAATAATGGACCTATGACACAGTCTGTCTCAAAACTTCTTTAGTGTCTTTGTATTCCCTTTGAATACCCTTGTCCTAAGGATTTCAGATCTTTTCAATTCAGGATTCCTCATGGTCATTGAGTTCACGAGACTCCTGTGGCTTCATTACAAATGGATTCTGAAATTCTTCATCAGTAAAATAACACCGTACCTGGATAATTCAGGTTGATGATGATATGCAAACAATTTGTTGTAGACATGTTACCTCGTAAATGCATCTGACAATGTCATAAATGTCTCATTAACTTACCACTTGATGTTAACCCTGCTGGGAGCCTCCACCCATCCGAGCAGCGATTTTCTTTTTTTCTTTTGTTTTGAGACAGTCTTACTCTGTCGCCCTTGGTAGAGTGCTGTGGCGTCACAGCACTCAAACTCTTGGGCTCAAGTGATTCTCTTGCCTCAGGCTCCTGAATAACTGGGACTACAGGTGTCCACCACAACACCTGGCTAGTTTTTTAGTAGAGACGGAGTCTCACTCTTGCTCATCAAGAACTCCTGTGCTCAAGCAATGCACCCACCTTGGCCTCCCAGAGTGATAGGATTACAGGCATGAGCCACCACACCCAGCCCAGAGCAGTGATTCTTAAATCACACATTGTAGATTTTCAATCAAAGTGTCCCACCATTATAATTGAACGAAGACAATCTTTGCTCCTATTATGAGAAATAGATCAATGCACAGAAAATTCCCAATTTTGACTTTCATCGGGACTTTTTCCTTAAGCCTACTATTTGCTAAAGGAACACCAGCAAACAGCAACAATAAAACTGATGATAAATTACTATTAATCCTAAATTCCAAAGCAGGGCATCATACTAATTTTAATGTCTTTAATATTCTTGGCTATGAATTATAAACACACAATAGGGTATTTTTTCTGCTACAAAATTTATTCTTAGTTTTTATGATAGAGTAAAATTTATGAGAACTTCATGCTGTTCCTATGAGGTGTATGACATTTCATAAAATCTTAACGTGACCTCTTGGTGCTTCACAACTAAGGAGCAAGGATGGAAAACCTTCAGGAGATCCGAGCATTGTGTTCAAATATGCTTCCTAACTAAACAAACGGGAGCTAAAATTTGGGTTATGTTACATACCTCAATATTTTCACACAGATCTCTGGATTTCCTTTATTTTTTTTCAATCTTTTTTTCTCTTTGTTGTTCAAATTATATAATTTCTGTTGATCTGTCTTCAAGTTCACTGGCCCTTTTCTCTGTCATCTTGATTCTGCCAATGAGCCCATCTAGTGATTTGCTTTTATTATTTTTTTTTCTTTGAGACAGTCTTATTTTGTCACCCTCAGTGTGGTGTCATAGCTCAGAGCAACTTCAAACTCTTGGATTCAAACAATCCTCTTGTCTCAGCCTCCAGAGTAGCTGGGGATACAGATAGACGCCTGCCGCAACACCCAGCTATTTTTAGAGGCGGGGGTCTCGCACTTGCTCAGGCTGGTCTCGAACCCATGAGTTCAGGCAATCTACCCACCTCAACCTCCCAGAGTTCTAAGATTACAGGTGTGGGCCACCATGCCTAGCCTATGTTTCTATTAGATATTATTATTTTTTACTTCTCAAATTTCCACTTGGTACTTCTTTATAGTATCTATTTCTCTGCTAAGAATTCATAATTTTATTCAAGTCATATATATTTTCTATTACCTTGCCAGACATAGGTATAATAATTGCTTTAAAGCCTTTGATCATTCTAATTACCAGGTCATTCAGGGTTGTCATCCATTATCTTTCCTCTTGAGAATTAGTCATGTTTTCTTAGTTCTTTTAGGTTGAATAGTTTCAAATTGCATTCTGGATATTATAAAGGTAACATTGTATTAACTCTAGGTCCTATTATAATTTTTTTTTCCCCCTGAGACAGTGTCACTCTTTTGCACAGGCTAGAGTGCTGTGGCATCATCCTAGCTCACAGCAAACTCAAACTCCTGGGCTCAAGGCATCCTCCTGCCTCAGCCTCCTGAGTAGCTGGGACTGCAGGTGCCCACCATGATGCCCAGCTAGTTTTTCTATTTTTAGTAGAGATGGGGTCTTGCTCCTGCTCAGGTTGGTCTCAAACTCCTGAGCTCACGTGATCCTCCCTCCTCATCCTCCCAGAGTGGTAGGATTATAAGCGTGAGCCAGCACACCCAGCTGGTCCTGTCATCACCTTGTAGAGAAAGCTGATGATTTTCTTTTAGCAGGTACTCAGCTCATGTTTCAACTGTAAGTTCTGTCTCGTTTACCTTTGCTATTTTGGTTTGGGTCTGTCCTGTTTCACAGATTTATCTGAGACTTGGGTGGTTCAGATCTCAGCCTGGTTCTCTAAGCCTTTTCTACAATGGTTTGGGTATGTTGTCTGCTTCTGTTATGCAGGAATTAGGCTAAGACTCGTGTCTTCTAACCTCAGTTCACTTCTTAAAAGCCTTTGCTCTGCTGATTGGAGTCTGAACCGCACATGTATACACGAATGTTGGTTTAACCCCAGAATTAAAGTATTTCCTTCTCCATTTTTCTCTTCTGGACTCTGTCTACACTTTTTTCAACCTCTATAAACTTTTTTTTTTAATGATTCTTTTCAACAAAAAGTTAGGGCTTTTACTGGCATTTTATTGCCACATATCCTAGCAGGCTTCTCTGCAAACAATTCCTACCTTTGGAGCAAAGCTGAAAGGAAAGTTAAGTTAAACTCCTCTTCGTACAGACTGGCTCTCTCCCACAGTCTACCTGTTTTATTTATTTCAAAATGTTCAGATAGCTGTTTGGGGTCCTGAGTTTTCAGGTGGAATCTGCAGGAAGGATGGGCTGCCAGGGGGTTGCATTTGCTGTAAGGCCTCCTGTTTTCTGGTTGTGATTATTGTTGTTCTCATTACTTCCTGTTCCATTATAATTTCATTAGCAAATAATTAGGCAAGATGACTGAAGGTTAGAAGTTCAGTAGTATTTGAAAAAGACGCTGTTTATAACTTTGCGAAAAAGCACTGGCCAGCAAGTAGAAGTATTTGACTTCCTTCCCACTGATGACACGGCCACTCCCATGCCAGGACAGTCAAATAATTTCAGAGTTTACCTGACAACCTAGGGGGCGATAGACTTGCTTCCATGAATAAAGATTGTCAAATAAAGACAGTAAACATTATCCCTGTTATTTGCCAAAGAAAGGGGTTTTTCCTCAAGGATTTAAATACCACTTATTTAATTAGCATATTAGAGCCTTCAAAATACTAAATAATATAATAGTGCAGGCACATGACATAATTTAATTTTTAATCCATCTATTTAATATGATTTTAATAACGGTGGAAAATCTGAATGTATGACACTTTATTTTATTAGCTAATTTTCTTTTTTATACCTTTTAAAATCCCATTTAAGAAAATTTTAATTAAATACACTTGCCCATTACTTTTTTCGATATTCTCTGTGGGGTGGCTGATGTGGGCTTTTCTGAATGCTTTTTTCATTGAATCACAGATACCACCAGAGCAAGAAGGAGCCAGGAGAGTGACGGTGTGGAGTACATTTTCATCTCCAAGCATTTGTTCGAGACGGATGTACAAAATAACAAGTAGGTGGGCCTTTTGGAGAATTTTCCTGAGGTGTCATTTTTAAGTGCCTGCCTCTCCCAATCCAGATGACCCAGGGTTCCCCTCCATTTGAAATGTGTTTTCATTGTCGTGATAATATTTGAAAGCGACAAAAAGTGAAAAAAGGCTAATTCAGTTGGTCATTCTTATCAGTGTTCACCTCTAATGTTTCAGTCGCCTTGAAGTGGCTCCCTTTCTGCAAAGTAAAGGAATTATTTTGCAGAATGAGGGAAGACTCCGTGTCTTCCTGTGACCTCCTTCCAGCCCACTAATTGAATCTCAACATATAATTGGGATCAAATTTTAATTTAAAAACTAATGAACCACTATGTAACGTGTCCCTAGCTCCCTGGTCCATGCACACACACACACACACCCTTGTTCTCACATTGGCTCGTCAAAAAAACAGAAATAACGGGGACCCTCTTGCTTATGCCATCTCCTCTGGCCGGGTCTCGGGTTTCTTCCCCTCGGGTTTTCCATTTGCTGAAGCACGTATATCGCAGGGTATCAGAAGCAACGTGTGTTTTAAGGCAGGAGTGCGGGACTTTATTGAAACATCAAAATGCTTTTTTCACATTTGGCTCGGTGATCGTGTTTTTATAGCACGCGTTCGGCTGCCCCGGCTCCATTAGCCACCACCCAGTGCCCAGAGTTCTGAGGCCAAGTGGGGTTACTCTGCAGCGCACAGCAGAATTTCAGTAGTTTCTATTGTTTGGCTTATTCCCTGTTTTATTACATTGCATTAGTTCTAAAAAAGGGGATGATGGAAAACTTTAGAACACCACTGGGCTAACGTACTTCTTTTTCTGCTTAAGTGTAATACAATCAAGTGTTATGAACGTGAAAATGTAAAATAGACGATTTTTTTAAATTGAAATTCTAAAGTCCTTGGCCCTATTTATTTTATTAACACAGAAAAAATTGCACGTTCAGCAAAAACGTCTTTTACCTATGAATTATATCTTGCCAGCTATCAGTTTTGTTTTGATTTTCTTTTTTTTTTTTTTCTTCTTTGCAGTTTTTGGCCGGGGCTGGGTTTGAACCCACCACCTCCAGCATATGGGGCCAACGCCCTGCTTCTTTGAGCCACAGGCGCCGCCCCCCTTTTTTTATTTTGCAATTCACAGATGATTCTGATGCATCTCTAATTCTCTGCAGGTTCATTGAATATGGTGAATATAAAAATAACTACTATGGCACAAGCATAGACTCGGTTCGCTCCGTCCTCGCGAAAAACAAAGTCTGCTTATTGGATGTCCAGCCTCATGTAAGTAAACAGTAAACTATTCGAGCCCCCTCTGTCCCTTCCTGTGGGCATTTCCATATGAGGTAAAGCCGAAGCTCCCTCCTCACTTTTGACATTTACAGAGGGTGCCCAAAATGCATGCACATTTTAAGAAAGGAGCATCTGTATTAAAATTGTAATATTCAAGTCACATTTGACTTCTGCTGTGGCAAGAGATACGAGACACAGCACACAGGGTGAGAAACATTACTGGTGTATATTGAGTATTGCAGCTTTAACACATTGTAGATGGGTCACAAGTAGATTTGTGTTTTTGTGCCCAAATGTTGTTGGCCAATCACACTTGTGTTTGTACTTATATTAGTTATTACAATTTTTAAAACAGTGTAATATAGGATATCATAAAAGCTTTTTTTTTTTTATTAAATCATAGCTGTGTACATTAATGCAATCATGGGGTACAATGTGCTGGTTTTACATACAATATGAAATGCTTTCATCAAACTGGTCAATGTAACCTTCACGGCATTTTCTTAGTTATTGTGTTAAGACATTTATATTCTACACCTAGTAAATTTCACATGTACCCTTGTAAGATGCACTGTAGGTGTGGTCCCACCAATTACTCTCCCTCTGCCCATCCTCTCCCCTCCTCTCCCTCTCCTCTTTCCCCTTCTTCTTGGGCTATAATTGGGTTATAGTTTTCATAAGAAAGCTATAAATTGGTTTCATAGTAAGACTGAGTACATTGGATACTTTTTCTTCCATTCTTGAGCTACTTTGCTAAGAAGAATATGTTCCAGCTCCATCCATGTAAACATGTAAGAGGTAAAGTCTCCATCTGTCATTAAAAGCTTTCTTGATCATGTCACTGGAGTAATAGCTAGTGACATGAGATAACTTCTGTGTAAAATTGCTGGTCACCAAGGTATTAATACATTTTTTTCTTTTCTTAAAATGTGTCTGCAATTTTTGGTACCCTCTGCATGTGGCTTTTCAAAGATGACAAAAGCATTTAAATGTCATATGAGACATCGATGGTGGGAAAGACAACCCATAATATTATTAAGAATGAGGAGTGGAAGAAGCCCCAAATGTGTGTTTGTAACTCTTGTTTATATTCTGTGTTTGCCGACTGTGTGACTCTTTGATTATTTCTATATTGTTCCATGCATAATATGTATATCCTTATGTGTTAGGTGTTGAGTGTTTGGGATGTTTACCAGGGACGTCTGGCTCTCTGTCCCCTTTCTCTGATGTCGGTTCTTGACCTATCCTAGTAGTGTTACCCCAGACGGAGCTGCTGGCATTTCTCAGGGGTCGTGTTGATTGAGATCGCTGTTGCAGCTCTCAGGGAGAGCCTTGCCTGTCACCCTGGGAGCTCTTAGGAATACTCCAGACTGGGAAGGGGGGTGAAGCCATTTGATTCCCAGTCAAACCGTATCCTCCAGCAGATACCCAAGCCACCGCCTTTTCCCCATCCCAGGGACCACAGAGTCTCCTTTCCCCCACAGCTGCACCCCAGGTTGCCCAACCTCTAAATGGCAGAATGACCTGCCTTTTGCACAACTTAAGGAAGGTGAATTTGGCGTACAGGAGTCCCAAGAATCAGGCTAACTCCAGGCCGGGTGTGGTGGCTCATTCCTGTTGTCCCAGCACTGTGGGAGGCTGAGGCAGGTGGATCACCTGAGCTCAGCCAAGTTCAAGACCAGCGGAAGACCAGCATGAGGCAGAGTGAGCCAGAGTGAGACCCCGTCTCTACAAAAAAAAAACAAAACAGCTGGACGTTGTGGCAAGCATCTGTAGTCCCAGCTACATGGGGGGCAAGAGGGCAAGAGAATCACTACAGGAGGAAGAAGTAAAAAAAAAAA